CCCTTTTCTATTATCATTCTATTACAAAGCAGAGAGCACCAATAGAAACACACTGCAAATGAACTAACATGTTGCATATTAGAATTTCAAATCAAGTCAAAATTAAATGTCTACTTCAATTAAGTAACACTGCATAGACAAAGATATAACAAATTTTAAAGAGGCCAAGTAATTTGCACTTCTTATGTACATGTTCTGTAACATCATTCTACAGAAAATAAAATTAAATAGAACATGGACTCAGTCATCAAATGTCAATCTTATTAGTTACAAATGTGATATTTTAAAGCATTTTCTAAATATGTTTATAGCTTAAGAACCCCGCAAGGTAACATAAGAGTCAACTAAAGACCTACAAATTATCATAAACATTTCTTTTTCATCTTCAGTAAATTTCTTCAAGGCTTTGAGTGCTACATTGAAATTTTGGATTCTTAATTCTGTAGTCTCCTGAAAAAATATATATATACACATGTATTCACACATACAGATTTATGAATTTGACAGGATATACTATTACAGGAAATTTTTTTTCTTTGTTTTACATGGTTATTTTGCTATGATTTCACTTAATACTCAATCTTGAGGCTTTCTTATACTTATAGTCAAAGATCATCTAATATCTGTGAAATCCAAACTTTGTTTTAGTAACCAATAAATGCTAAGCAAATGCAGTATCTTAAGCCACCCACCCCCATGCCAAAAAATGAAAAAAAAAATTCCTTGATGGCATGTTTTTCCATTTGAAAAGCAGTGATGAATTTAACACTTTACACCTACTACCAATATTTACTTCAATTAATGGTAAAATTACCATTGAAAACAAAGTAGAACTATGGAATAATAAATAGTGTAGAACCCTCTTTTATTCCTGTTTTAAGAGTCATTAAATGTTAAATTGGGAAGTGTTTAGAATATCACTTACTATTCTGACTCTACATATGAAGCAAATAAATTTTTGTAAACCCTCAGGAATTATGAGAGATACTTTTAGTAATTTAGTAAACAGTCTCCCAGAGTGGCCTAGTAAATTTAGCAATAAGTAGGACATGTCAGAAAATGCCACAAATCCTATAGATTTGTGAGAATTGTCACTCAGGCTACACAGTCAACAAAAATAATTCATTCAGCTGTCTGCTCAAGTAGAGCTGTGCTTCAGCTACAAAGTTTAGAAACTTTAAATTTCATACATATCAGGAAGGAAAGTAGTTTTGAGGCATCAAAATTTTAAAGTCCAACTAGGTTTAGAAATGAAATAAATTTTTTGTTGTAATATTAATATATTAGAATATTTTCTTCACAGTTAACTTGTAAATAATGTGCTAGTTATTATATATACATACACACATGCATACAAACATGTATTTGTGTGTATATATACACAAACATTTATATATATTTATATAAATATATGCAGCGCTGTAAATTAAGACAGATTATAAATTGCACTAGAGAAAAATGTGGGAAAGATAGTCTTTTCAACAAATTATGGTAAAGTAATTTGATAGATAAAAAATAGTTATTTACCTTCTATAACATACTATAAATAAAAAATCAATTTCTGTAGATTTTAGGCTAAAATTCAGAAAGCAAGATTATATGGTTCTCAGTAAATATTGTAGAATATTTTAATGATTTGTGCAATGGAATTAAAAAATCTTAAATATAATATAAATATAATAGACATAACAGAATACATTTTATGACATGAAAATGAATAATTTGTGTTTTTCATGTGATATCATCATGAAAGTTACAGAATGTTAGGTAGCATTGTTAACAAATATAACTGATGGAGAAATTGTATCCAGAACAAAGAAAAAGACCTTAAATCAATGAGTAAAGGGGAAAATGCAATATGAAAATAAAAATTCAGTACAAAGATTGAAAAACATATTAATAAGCATTCCAAACATGTAGATGTGGAAATAACCAAAAAGCACTTGAAAAGAAGCCTTCCTTATTCATTGTAAGGGGATAGCAAAGATTATACACAAATACAATATGTAGTTTTGGTAAAGCATGTGGAACAATGAGATTTATCATACAATCCTGGTAGAAGCACAAATTATATACCATTTTGGAAAGACTTGATATTACTTCTAACAGTTCAAAATGTGCATACCTTGTAACCTGTATTTTTGCTTTCATTATATATTTATGAAAAATATTGCTATATGTGTATAGTGAAATGTGTAAGAATGTTAAAAGTAGTATTATTTGTAAGGGTGAAAATTAGAAAAAAAAACACAGTTATCCATTTTTCTTGGGTAGATAAGGCTGGTAATTCATAAAATGGAGTATTATGCTGTAATGGAGGTGGATAAACTACAGTCACATGCAATGACAAGAATGAATCTCAAATAATGCTGTGGAAGATAAACCAGACAGAAAACTAATATTATAGAATTATATTCATAAAACATTACAAAACAGTACCTAGTTTGCATGCTTTAGATACCAACATGTAAAAGAAAGAAAGAAATGGATTACTGTATTTTAGATATTAGTTATTTTTGGAAGGAGGGAGAAAACAGTGATTAAGAAGGGTCTGAGAGGATGCCATCTAAATGTTTATCTTTTAAAATTTTATTAGTAATACGACGTATGACCAGGTAAAAAAAAAAATTAGAAGTATCCTGTGAGAATATCCCTCCAAACCCCTAACCCACCTCTCTGCTCCACTACCCCCAACCACGGCACCCCAGACATTACAAATAAAGTCCCTCTCTTCCATCTCTGCAGGGCAATTACTATATCTGTTTCTCATATCTCATAAAATTCTCTCAATATTGAATAATAGAGCTTATTAGAATCTTATTCAATCTGATTTTATCTTTTAAAATCTGATTAAAATCTTGGCCCTAATAACTTCCAAATTATTGGGAGTAAGAAAAGCCTAGAAAGGACTCTGAAAACATCCATCTTCAAAAAGAATAACTAATTCTAGAGATGAAGAAAGAAAACTTGTACAGTTCATTAAATGTCAAAAATAAAGAACTCAACAAAGGTAGAGTGCTAAATATTCTCAAATCTATTGGAAGTTCATAGAAACAGAAATAGAATTATTATTGGATTTTACGACTAGAATGTCACTGATGACTTTTGTGACCAATTCTAATGAAGCAAGGTCAAAATCCAGAATGTGTAAGATCTCACTTTCTCCAGTCTTTCATCGGTAGCACCCATCTCTGCTGCCAAGGCTTTTTGCCCTTTTGAGAGCACTGATGTAGCCAATGCAAAACGTAACAGGTATCATATAGGTGAGTGATCATGTCCATTTTGTGTATTTCTTCTGTGCTGTCTGATCTCCAGTGAGGGGTAAGTTTCCATAGGATGATCCATTTATCTCTGTCCTCAATCTTCCAATCTTTACCCTTTCAAACTTCAGATCACCTTAGTCATTTGCTACTGCCTGTGCCTCTGTATATAGTTTTAAGTAATGTCATTTTCCTCTTCACAGAGTGTAAAGGACCAGGTGAATTTCTAAGACTGATAATACAGAGGATTTTCTTTCATAACTGCCTTCCATGGCAGTCTCTGAGTGGAGTTGTGTTTCAGGAACTGGTCATTCTCACCTTTCCACCTACATCCCCAGGCAACACATGAATAACTAAACCTGAGATATTTTCTCTTCTGTCAGAAATTCACAATAAACCATCCAGGAGACCAGAGGTGTGAGCTGAGTTTGAAGCACAGAACTATAATGGTAGGTGATACAGGCCTCTGTGCCACCTGCGTATGCATTTTACTTATGTGAGACAGCAATTAAGGTGCACATGATTTATTTACAGATTGTTCGTAAGACAATCATGTACATGATTGGGTAGTAATGTAGAAATGTGAAGAAGGAAAAAATAAGTAAGAATATTGTTCCAAATGAAATTTAGCCATGGCCAGAGTGTAGAACATGGTGTAAGTGGGTATGTTATGGGCCATCCTTGTGGTGCTGCATCAATTCTGTGGTGAGCAAGCTGATTCTAGTTTAGGAAAATTCTATGGATGGGTCACATCTGTGAGCTCTTAGCTTAAACAAACAAACAACTAACTAACTAACTGGGGAATGGGTGCATAGTCCTGGCTAAGGGAATGTGATCAAGACAGTGACATCAGCCATAATGACCCTTGTACGCATTTATGGCTTTACTATCTAAAGAATGTAAATTTCCATCTCATATCTCATAGCTGAGATCATAATTCATGCATTCAGGTTCCTACCTGACATCTCTTTACAGATCTGTCAGTAACACTTCAAACCCACTATTTCCAATATTGTGCTTTTAATCTCTCTTTATACATGGTTTTCTGTTGTTAGTAAAAGTCACCTGTGTCTTTTCTGTTGTACAAAATATAAATTTTGAAGCCATCTTTCATACTTTCTTCTTCTGTAAATCTGTATCCAATTTATTTTGGTGGCAGATGCTGTTACTTCCCTGTCCATTTTCTCATAGCTATTATCATTCTCATTTATGCTCTTGCCTATTGCAAGTGCCTGTGACTCATCACCTGAAGTCTTTCTCTGGCACACTCAGACCACATGTAGGGCAGGCTAGAAGTGCTAGAAAGTGAATAATTTAGAAGAAACTTTCAGATAATGATGGATGGAATTTGGAAGATTAATTCTCCAGTATCCTTTATACTTGCATAGGACAATGATGAAGAATTCTCTACACTGTCTCCTAGAGAACCCAGCAGCAATGGGTTACATTACATTACAAAAATACACGGGAGTATTTTTTAATAACACACCTGAAAGGGTTTCCATTTCTCTCTCATCTCATCCCCTACTTCAGTAATTCTCTGAATCACATCCAAAGAAGTTCTTGCACTTAAGCCTTTGTCTAAGGATCTACTTTGAGAAAACCAAACTAATAAATGCCAAGTCTTACCAGTTTTATTCCCTTACTGTTTTAAAAAATCTGTGGTTTCTTTTATTTACATGGCCATACCATAAATACAGTTTGCTATTATTTCTCAGCTTTGACCAACATTATAAAAACTTCCAAACTACTTTTCAGAATCCATTCTGGATCTCTTTAAGCCATTCTCCATGATAAACCCTCGTATTTCCCCAAAGAAAACCTGATAATATATTAAGACTCCATAATGGATTTTATGGCTTTAGGATTAAAAGTCAAGATATTTTAGGTAGTGTTTGGTTTATGGTATATTGTCATTTAGAATCCGTTCTCAACTAGTTCCAAACATCTTCCTGAACTGCAATGAATGAATCTAAACCTTTACATTTCCTAGGTTAATTAGCAGTGTGGGCTTAAGAAAGGAATCATGTTCTGTCACTGAAATATGCTTCCATGAAACAGGAAGGGAATTTCAAAATAAAATGCTTTACACAGCCTGATGCTGTGACGTTGACAGATAAGTTTTGAGAGACTTTCGTGATTGTGATGACCAGTGTGGCATTTCATGTCTAGATACATGTTTAATTGAGACCATAGTACCAGTGTCAGAGACCCATACCTTCTGGTCTTTGGAAAGCTGCCATGAAAGATGAGCTGTATTGTCATATGGCAACAGGTCTGACTGATACTTCTCCAGTGACTCCAAGAGCCTTTAAAGCTCCTAATTTCCTGTGTTAGCTCTCCATTTTTGAAATATACAGAATGATTTCTGTTCCAAGCACTGAAACTTGATGATACAATAACCTGGCATTTAGTTGATTTGGATCTAACTCCCCAGCTCTACCATCCACAGATCTCTTAATTTTCTGCATTTCAGTCATCTTGGACTCTTTATGACTATATTTTTGTATTAGAATGCCATGTCCCCTCCAACTATTCGTTTATTTCTTGCTTGGAAATCCAATTCTTCTCAACATCTTTTCAAAATTGCCTGTTCTCTTTTGTTACCAGAGCTGAAAAATTGCTTCTTTAAGGAAGCCTCCCTGAGGTCCTACTTAATTAAAATATTTATCAAATGAGCTCCTAAATCTGAAGTTTCATAGAAACTTACATTTTGAAATTGTTCATGTGTGATTATTTGAATATTGTTTAACTCATCAAACTAGGGAATATGTTTCACAAGTCAAGATTGATTCTGCTTAGTCTCACTATTCTAATTCTTAGCCCACTGCCAGGCTAAAGGTAGAAATTCAGTAATTTTTGGTGAATGTTGTTTGAGAGATTTAGAAAACTAGGAGATATTTAATGAAGTGATATTTCTGTTGAAGAAGTTAGGTATGAGGTCCAGACCTCAAATTGGCATTTTAACTTTATACAAGAACACGTGTGCCATTACGACAGGAAATAAAAAGGGAAGACAGATGTTGATATTTATGGATAGTATGTAAGAAATTAAGAGTTCCATCTTTTCTCCCTGAAGCAAAATACTAAGGGGTCTTTTGACAGTGATTGTAGCTATAATTGGGAGGTGATTCAAATAGAGGGGAACATATTGGAAAATTCTAGTTTGTTAATGGGAAAGAATGTTGACTAGGTAAATGAAAGACCTGGGGACAGTTTTAAAGACATATTTCAGAATCTAGACAAAATATACTAAAGACATCAGTCTGTGCATTAACAAATAATTGCATAGTTGCAGTGAATGGAAGCACTTTAATTGATCCAGAATCTAGATGTTATATTATGCTGTATAGAATGATAATAAGACAATAACGGGACTATGTTGAGAGTATTGACAAAAACATGAGTGCTAGTTTAGAGAGAGAAGAGAAGGAATAGGATTCCTTTATGTGGAATAAATTAAAGAATTCACAAAATGGAAATACTTATGAAGTCATAAACATGTGCAGTAGAAAGAACAGAGGTCTGGAGAGATATGAATATATGATTAGAGTCTGAAAAGTTTGAATTAGAAATTCCAGAGTTGCTGAAAGTAGCGTAAAAGAGATTGCACATTTTTCAATAATTCCTTTTAAACCTCAATGACTTTGGCATGAATTGGGTCACTTGCTTCTTCATGACCTATTCATGTTAATTTGATTATTCAGGCCCTGAACACATGCCCACTCCTAGCTAATTGGGACTATATCTTGACCCCATATATATATCTAGAACTGGAACAGATGAAAAAAGTATTTCTTCACGAAAAAGTTAGAGGTTCTATTACCAGATTAAGGAAAATTGGATGTTGGACTGACAAACTACGTATGTCAGTGTAAAGTTCTTTAATTATAATAAACACTGTTGTAAACTGGTGTCACATACCCACTCTCAAGGACACTGCCTGGACTCTGTCATTGACTACAGCATAGAACAGAAGCGTAATATGCAGTCAGCAATAAAGGTGATAAACAATGATTACTTCTTGTAAAACATGAAAGAAGACAGATTTAATACATTCAACAAATGTTTGCTGATCACATCTTATGTTCCAGAAATTGTCCTTGGTACTTGGAATGCATTAGTGAATATTTTTCTGATTTTCTGGAACTTAAATTTTAGTATTTGTAAAAGACAGACATACAATAATAAGTGAATTGCATAGTTGTTTAGAAGATGATATCTGTAATTAGCTGTTTTTTAGGAACTATGTGTAGTTCCAACAGTTCCTGTTTGAATGGATTCAGTTTCTCAGATCTTCAGAGTAAGACTCCTGCTCTCATTGAAAAGCACTACCTAAACACATTGATTTTCCTCAGAAGAGCCCATCTCTTTACAGGTAAAGGAGTCAATTTCTAATAATTTCACTAGAAATTCACTTGCCCCAAGAAATCTAAAGTGTCTGTATCTGTAGGAAATGTCAGTATATTCCTCAGGTAAGATTTGTGCAGTTTCAGCTGTGCAGTAGGGATCAAAACCAGCTATCTGTCAAGAACTCTTCAAAGCTTCGCAGAAAGAGGGTCCTGACCCAGTAAATGACTTATTGCCTTTAACCCTATGCTACCTACTGAATGCAGAGCACACCAGTATTCTTTCAGATATAATTGCCTAAGAAGATGGGGATGGGTTAGAATTTCCTATTATAAATTAAACACAAGAACTTTTAAATTTACCTTTTTTACATTTACCCTCAATTTCTAAGTAATAAAAATAATGAACACAAAGTAATTTTAAAAAAGAGACTCTTATCTAGATGATGAAAAGTTATTAAAACAAAGGATGTGGAAGAAAATAAAGATAAATTTAAAAAATAAAACTTCACCCCATTCAACATCCATTTATGATAAAAACTCTCAACAAAGTAGGTAGAGAGGGAACATACCTCAACCTAATAAAAGCCATATATGGCAAACCAACAGCCAACATCATACTCAATAGTGAAAAGCTGAATGTTTTTCTTTTATGATGAGAAACAAGAAAAGGATGCCTACTCTCATCACTTTTATTCAACATAGTATTGGAAATCCTAGCTAAAGTAATTAGGTAAGAAAAATAAGTAAAAATCATCAATCCAAATTGGAAAGAAAGTGAAATAGTCACTATTTGCACATGATGTATTATATGTAGAAAAACCTAAAGACTCCACCAAATACTAAGCAACAAATTCAGTAAAGTTGCAGAATACAAAATCAATATGCAAAAATCTGTTGTGTTTCTATACACTAATAAGAAACTATCACAGAGAGAAATTAAGAAGACAACCTCATTAATAATTGTATCAGAAAGAATAAAATACCTAGGAATAAATTTACCAAAGAGGCAAAAGTCTTGTACACTGAAAACTTTAAGATGCTGATGAAATAAATTGAAGACACAAATAAATGGGAAGATATTCCATGCTCATGGATTGGAAGAATTGATAAGTTGGATTTCAAAACATCCAAACCAAACTATAGCCATTATCTTGTAATAAATTTTAATGGGGTATAATCTGTAAAAATACTGAGTCACTATGCAGTGTGCCTGAAACTAGTATAATATTATAAATCAAGTAAACTTCAAAAAAATCCATGCCACCCAAAGCAATCTACATATTCAATCCAATTCCTTCAAAATTCCAATAACATTTTTCACTGAAATAGAATAAACAAATCTAAAATTTATTTGGAACCACAAAGACCCAGAACAGTCAAAGTAATCTTGAGGGGAAAAAAAAAGCTGTAGGTGTCATGCTTTCAGACTTCAAACTATATTATAAAACTGTTGCAATCAAAACAGTATGGAATTGGCAAAAGCAGACACATAGATTGATGAAATAGAATAGAGATCCTAGAAATAAATTCATACATACAAGATCAATTAATTTACAACAAAGAAGTCACTGAATGTACAATGGGAAAAGACAGTCTCTCCAATAAGTGGTGTTGGGAAAACTAGAAAGTCATACAAAAGAGGCAGGGGGTGGGGTGGGGTAGGCAAAATGAGTAATGTGGTCAAAACATAAAAACTTACAGTTATAAATAAATAAATCATGTAGATGTAATATACAGCACAGTGACTTTTTAATAATACTGTACTGTATATTTGAAAGTTGCTAAGGGAGTAAATCTCAACACAAGAAAAAAAAAAAGAAAACACCTTTACCCATTACCACACCATTTTAATAGGTAAGTTATAATAGCATATTGCATTTTTCTCTTGTAGTCTTCATCATTTGCATGTTTATATATTTAAAGTTTTAGCTTTGAGTCCTGATTTTTTCCATAGTTAATTGATTGCATATACTTTACAAGTTGCTATATTATCTTTCACAGTAGGTTTTCAATAGCTCCACAATATTCAGTTGAGTATAACATAACTTGCCTTTATCACTATTGGAAATAAAAAACTCTGTAAAGTCAAGATTCTATGGTGTTTTATACATTGATAGGTTATGAATACTTTGTTATCATGACGCATATTCAACCCAATCACTTCCTTCTATTTCCTGATATTTATATTTAATTTTTAATATTAAGAGAATAACATCAATGGGATACAGAATTTCAAATTGATATTCTTACCATAATAATTCAGGGGGATCAGATTGAAAGTTCCATCCCTCCAATCACATGGCTGGTTCCCATGACTACTAGCTTCATCCTTAGGTACTTAACAGATGTCACCTCATTAACATAAACTCAAGTGTGTCTGAAAGTGTTTCTTTTGAATATTGGGCACCTTTATCACTTTCTTAGTACAAGGGAAAGAAGAAGATCAATTTGAAATTCTGTGACTCACTGATGTTATTTTTTAATTGTTAAAAATCAGATATAAATATTAGAAAATAGAAGAGAAAGTGTTTGAGTTGGTTGATGTTCTCTAAGTAACGAATACAATTGGCTGCATAGCAAACACATAAATTTGTCTTGAATCAGGTCAGATGTAGGCTATACATTTATATAGACATTGTTTAGTCTCTAATGCATTTATTTTTATTTCCTGTTTTTATAAACCAATTTGTAGAATATAAAATTAGGAATGCTCTGTAGGAAGTGAATTTGGTCTCAAGAAAATTGAAAACATAAAAATGTGCAAAGACAGATGAGTATTCATTTTGTGAAACAACTATGTCAGTCAACTGGTTAATATCAGTTTCATACATTAATCCCAAATATACATTGGTATATCTACATAATGATGTATATGCACTGTTTTTGCAATATTTTTTAAGCAAAAGATCAACTTTTAGTAATATTAGAGTGAGACATCATAATTTGGCTAATAGGCTAGCTGTGAAATAGAAAGTAAGGGGATTCTGATATGATAATTATGATTAGTTCCACATTATTTTATGCTGAGTGTATACTAAATGTATCTATAAGTAAAACTTTAATTTTCAAATTCCATTATCCAATTTTCTTTTTTTTTAAATGGCAGTATAGTCAGTTACAATGTGCCAATTTCTGGTGTACAGAAAAACATCCCAGTCATATTTGTTTTCATATTCTTTTCAGTAAAGGTTATTATAAGATATTGGATATAGTTCCCTGTGCTATACAGAAGAAATTTGTTGTTTTAATCTATTTTTATATATAGTGGCTAGCATTTGCAAATCTCAAACTCCCAAATCCAGTATTCTTAAATTTAATCATGGTAGTGGTTTTATGGTAACACTTAGGAAATTAGAAATTATAACATTCACTTCTTTTTTTTCACTGTAACATTTCACTTTTTTCACTACTTTTGCCTTACATCATGATAGGAAATATTTAATAATATTATTATAGGGATTTTCAAATAATATAAACTCATAGATTTCTGAAAAAATATATGTTTAGTCATCTGATGTCATTTATTGGATAGTGAACATGTATGAAATTCTTTATTATGCAATTAAACCAAGTCCCTAAATTCAAATAGGTGCCCTAGTATATCCTCAGACACATACACATATCAATGATGCATAGCTCTTGCCCACCGAAGTGTATAGTTTAAAAGGGAGGGAAAATTAAAGTCACAAACAAGTATGATAAAATGATAATGTATATAGGTTTTATAGAAGTGTAAAACATAGGTTAGGGATAACAATAAGTAAGTGACTAATTCAGTCCCACCAGATGGAATGAATTACTCAAGACTCTGAGGGAAAGTCAAGAGAGGGAGAGGGGGTGGGGAGCCAACTTCACGAGCCTCTCAAATCTCTCATATTTATTGAGTACAGTCGAAGGAGGAATGCAGGAATTTAGGGAAGGACAGGGTGGGATCACAATGAGTACAAAGGCTTTATTTATTGTTGGTGTTTGGCTCAAGGTCAGAAGACCCTTTTTGGTGAATCATGTTCCTGTTGAGCTTTTCAGCTTATCAGGGCGGAACGTATGAGAATCAGCTGCTTAACAACTTGGACTTAGGTGGCTGTGCCTGTCTTAGGTTGCCCCCTCAGGGGATCTTACCAGTCATTGGCTAACCAGCCTTCTCACCTCTGAGTCTGCAGCTTTTTATAAGTTGTTTACCATTCCAGCCCACGGCTGTTTTGGGGATAGAGGACTAACAGCAGGCACCCTCAGCATTTATATCGTTTATAGCCATAGCCGGGGGCCTGGGTCGTTCCAAAACCTCAAAGCAGTTACTAAGCACATCTTTAATGAGATAATCGGCTGGGATCTGTTACAATTTGTTAACCCAATCATGGGCTCCCACACATATATTTCTTGGATAAAGAACAGAAATATTTTAAGTTAAAGCAGGAACAGAAAAATAATTCCTAGTATTCAAAACAGTGTAAGAGTTTGGCATATTTCATGATGTACCTTCATATACTTTGTGGTTATATGTAATGGAGTTTTATTTGCAGTTCTTAGCTGAAAATAATAGAAACAGATTTTTGGTTAACTTAAAGAAAAATAAATTAACTTGGTTGATTTTTGATATACCACAGATTCAATGGAAGACTGGAGAATCAATTTCACAGAGCAAGCCAGAAACAAGGGAGTATGAACCCCAAGGGAAAAACTAGTTGTAATATTTCCTTATATAACTGGGTACATCATGCTGCCAGTGCAGCTGGGCTCCTGTTGCCATCACTGTCACCATTTCTCAACTTTTCTGTGAATTTTCATGAATTCCTTAAGGTTCAGATTCTTGGTAGTAGCACTTTTTTTTTTTTGACAAATTGTAGGACACAAAAATATAAGGATGGAAAAAAGAAATGTCTGGCCTCCATTGGGTGCCCAGTGTGAGACAGGTAATGGATACAAAGAAAATGTCCACTCTGTGGAGAAAGAGTAAGGCTGAGTTTCAAATAATAACTGACATAAAATTGGTTAGAAAGCTTTACACCATTACACAAAGCCTAGACTTCTGCTTGCAGGCAATAAGAATTCATAACTGTATCTTAAGCAGAATAATTGTCATGATTGCATCTGAGAAATAATTTTAGTAATAATGTGGATGATAATACTGTAGCTCTGAGAGTCTCTTGATTGTGAATTCAGGTGATACATAATATTCCTGAAAATAGATGATAAGTGTCTTAACAAGCAAAATGGTGGTGGGGTTGTAGAGAATGAAAAACAAAGAATTGATGAATAGTTATTTTCAAGGTAGGATTTGAGGAGTTTAGTAACTTATTAAATGTGAGAGATATGGGAGAGAAATGAGCCAGAGATACCTTATAGATTCTGAAAATGACTAACAAGGTAATTGGGATGCTGATGAATGATAAATAATGAATTTTTAGAACCACTATATTTGATATAAATTTAACATTCAAGAATTACAGAATGTTGGTATAGAGTTTGGAGACATAGTTTTCATGTCTCCAGGGATACAAACAGAAAGATAAATCAGTAAGAAGCAGAAGAAAACCCAAGGTGAGTATTTTGATGGAAACGAAGAAAACAGACTTCCAAGATTTAATGAGAAGCCAGCTGGGTTATGTGCCATTAAA